TGAGGGTGGAGGTGACCAGGCCGGATCCTGTCACCAGCGAGGGGAGGAAAGGGATCACGGATGACATGTCTCTTTCTTGACAGCTGCCGACAGAACCTTCCAGCTTCAGTCACCACTAATACCCAGCAAGGCGGGTAGCGCCACTCCCATCTCACAGCCAGGAAGCTGGGACTCTGGGAGCTCGGGTGACTTGCCCTCAGTCACTCTGCCCGTGGAACCTGGGCCTCCTGACCTTGGAGCCCTCGTCTGCCACAGACGCCCCCTTTCTACTGACATCCCAGAGGCCCCGAGCGCCTTCGGGCAGCTCCCCATCCACACACGGCAGCCCCTTTGTCTCCTGTCCAAGACCTCCAGCTGCCTGCTGCCTGCCCACCCTCCGCGAGTGGCCCCCAGGACCTTCCCAGCTGTGGGGTGGGGAAGCTCCTCCTCCAGGGGCCACCATGCAGCCATGGAGCATCCACGGACCCAGATTCCCCACCTGCTTGACAGAGTCAGTGGGTGGACCCTGCACTGGGCCCGGCACGGGGAGCGTGGCACAGCCGCTGGCATTGCTTGTTCTTGGAAAGGTTTCAAACAGGAGAGCACAGTGGAGTTTGCACTTTGGGAAGGTCATTCTGGAGACCCTGAGGAGGGTGGGTGGAGGGGAGGTGGAAACCGTGAGCTGGGCCTCTAGTCCATCTCCCTCCTCGGATGGTGGGCAGCTGCAGGGGAGGGAGGAGGTGGGCTCCATGCTGCTCGGGTGACCCGTGTTCTGACCCTCAGGCACCCTCTGGAGGTGTGACTGGATGGGCTCAAGCTGCGAGACGCCTGGCCCATGGCCACCTGTGGGCGGCAGCCACCATTTCTGCCCGGCCCAACGGCGTTTGCCCTCTGCCCACTTCACAGCACCATGTCCAGGGAATGGCCCTGTGGGGACTCCTGACCCCCAGAGATGGACACCCCCTGCTCCTCGGCTTCTTCACGGGGTGTGAGGCTGTGGTCACCATCCTCACCTTTCAGCTGGGGCGTGGGGACGGATGGCTTCCACCCAGCCTGCCATGCTGCTCTCCACCCACTCCACTTCCTGCTGGCCCCTGCCTCCTCCCTTCCTGCTTCCTGTCACATTAGTTCAGGTCTTCAGGATCCCATCATTGGCACATTTTCTCTACCCGCTTTCTTTGGTGTCTGCCTTCGTATTCAGCGTGAATCTTTAACTCACATCCTACCTTCAGGGGCATTGCATTCCTTCACAGACTATGTGAGAACAGTTTTGTCCATTTCCCCATCTGCTGTTGCTGTAGTTTGGGTGTTAAGTGTCCCTAAATGACCTTGTACTTAAGTCTTGTTCCCAGCTTGGTGCCATTGGGAGACGAGGCGGGGCCTTTAAGAGGCGGGGCCTGGGGGGAAGTCAGTCATTGGTATGCCCTTGAAGCTGATGGTGGACCTGGTCCCTTCCATTCTACTCTTAATTCTGGCCACATAGTGGTTTTGCTCTTCCACAGCTCCCACCATAAGGTGCTTCCTCCCCATAGGCCTAAAAGCAACAGGGCCAGCTGATCAGGGACTGGACCTCCACTAGCATGAGTGGAATAAGCCCTTATGCATTATAAGTGGGCTCCCTCAGTTTTGTTGTTACAGCAGCAGAAAGCTGATGTGATTCTTTTTGCCATTTCTGCTATAACTCCCACATATTCTGGTGTTGTTTTACTTTCAGTATTCAGTTATCTTTTTAAAATATTTTTTTA